CCTCTTGTATTTGGTTTTACAATTCATTCTTCATGCTTGGGAAATTTTCTGATATTATCTCATTGAAGAGATTGTGCATTCCTTTGGTTTGAAACTCTGTGCCTTCCTCTACCCCAATAACACTTAGATTTGGTCTTCTGATGCTGTCCCGTAATTCTTAAATGTTCTGTTCATGGTTTCTTACTATCTTCACTGTGAGATCAACTTTATTTTCTAGATTGTATACTTTGTCTTCATTATCTGACGTTCTTTCTTCTAAGTGATCTAGTCTGTTGGGTATGCTTTCTACTGAGTTTTTTAATTTGATTTATTGAATCCTTCATTTCAAGGATTTCTGTTTTTTTTTTTTTTTTCAGAGTCTCTCTCTCTTGAAGTAATTTTTTGCTACCTGTATTTAATGCTCTCTTATCTCTTTGTTGAACAGATCAATTTTTGCCTGTATTTGCTCATTTAGGTAATTCGTTAATTCACAGATCATTTTAATTATGAACCTTCTGAACTCCTTTTCTGACATTTCATCAACTTCGCAGTCCATAGGTTCTGTTATTATAGTATCCTGTTTGTTTGGGGCACTTTCCTCCCTTGTGTTTTCAAGATGTCTATGTGTCTTCCTTTCTTGTAGTGTGGACCTGAGATATTACAGTTTCTTCCCTATATTCTTGTAGTACCCATGTAGATTGTCTGTACCTCACCTTATGTTGGGCTTCCAGACCCTGCTGGTGTCCTTCAGTGTATGCTACTTCATCTAAGGTTGGTGGCGGCAATATCAGAAGTAACTGTGTGGGGAAGGCTATGGCAATGACTGCCGTGTCCAAGATGAAAGTGGGTTAGGCTTAGGCTCCCAGGTGTGTGTGGGGGTGGGGGGGCGCAAACTCAGACCTATTCTGAACCTGGGTCCTGTGCAAGTCAGTGTGGACAGATCTGGGCTGGGCCTGACTCCAGCGGTAATTTGTTGGACTGAAGGGGCGGACCTGTGCCAGAAGCTAGGCTCTGGCAGGTGTTTGCCCTGCTGGTGGAGGGGTAGACCAGGTCCTGCTGTGAGCCTGGATCCTGCGTGAGCTGGTGTGGGCAGTCTCTGCTTTTTTCTTTTTTTAATCTATTCTTCTGTCAATAGATATTTGGGTTGTTTCCATCTCTTGGCTACTCTAAGTGATACTGGAATCAATATGAATGTGCAAATATATATTTGGGATCTTGTTTTGCATTCTTTTGGATATATATCCAGAAGAAGGATTCCTAGATTTATATGGTAATTCTATTTTAAATTTTTTGAGAAATCTCCATACTGTTTTCCATAATGGCTATACCATTTTACATTCTTATAAACAGTGAACCAAGGTTCCAATTTCTCTGTATCCTTGTCAACACTTATTTTCTATTCCTTTGATGGTGGTCATCCTGATGGACATGAGGTGTGATACTGCAAAGTTTTGATTTGCATTTCACATGCATGGTAATCATTTGAATATGTTTGGAAAATTGTCCAAGAATCAAATCTTGTTCATTTTTCAATTGCGTTACCATTTTTGTGTGTGTGTGTGTGTGTGTGTGTGTGTGTTTGTGTTACAGAAGTTCCTTATATTTTTTGGATATTAATCTTTTATGATATAAATTTGCAAATATTTTCTCCCATTCCATGTGTTGCTTTTTCATTCTTTGATGCAGAGAAGTATTTATATGTCATATAGTCCCATATGTCTATTTTTGCTTTGGTCTGTTCTTTTGATTTTATATCCAAGAAATCACTGTCAAATCTCATGTCTTGAAGCTTTCCCTCTATGTTTTATAGTTCTTATAATTTTTATCAGAAGTTTTATAATTTCTTATAATTAGGTCTTTAATTGTTTAGGGTTAATATTTTGTATTTATATAAGGTAAGGGAGGGAAGGGTCCAACTTCATTCTTTTGAATGTGGACATCTAGTTTCCCCAACACCATTTGTTGAAGAAAACTGTCCTTTCCTCATTGGTCTTGGCACTCTTGTTGAAAATAATTTAATCATGTATTCAAGTGTTTATTTCAGAGGTTTTTATTAATAATTTTAAGGGTTATAATTCTGCCTACTGTCATATACTTTAGATAATTTTTATTTAAACTAAGTATAGACAAGCCCCTTAAGCTAACTAGAAGCAGCAGAATGCATAGATTTTTTCAAGTAGAAATACCTTCAAGTTCATTTTCTTTAGGGTCCTTTTTTAGCCTGTTTTCCCTATATATTGCCACCGTATTCCAAAGTTTTAGCTTCCTCAAATTTTATTTTGACTAGACACTAATATTTATTTTGGTTGGTAAGTCTGTTTTACAACCATAATTTTAATTTATATTGCATCTTCATGTATTTTATAGTCATATAAATATAGCCTACTTTTTAAAAAAAATATATTTATTTTTTAGTTTTCGGCGGACACAACATCTTTGTTTGTATGTGGTGCTGAGGATCGAACCCGGGCCACACGCATGCCAGGCGAGCGCGCTACGACTTGAGCCACATCCCCAGCCCTACCCTACTTTTGATTTAGTAAAAAAAGAAAACTGAATGCTAACCATGCTCTAGGCACTGTGCTAGGTGTTAAGAGATACAGAAAACTCGATTTTATATTACTGTGTTAACTATGGTACAACTTTTCTCTAGCCCAAGAATGCCTTAATAGAAACTGAACCAAATACCTAGTTTAGTGTGTTTGAAATATGAAAGAAAACCAGTGTTTGGAGACTTGCTACATGAGAGCGAGAAAATGACAGAAGATAAAAGTAGAGAAGTAGGCAGGGATCAGCTTATGATATCATTTTAGATTTTCTCTTAAATTCAATGGTAAACTACTTATAGTTTTAAATAGAAAAAAAATCTACACTAAATTTTAAAAATTTGACATAGAGTGGCAAAATAAATATATGAACTGTTATTTTTGTAAAAATTCCTAGTGGTTGATAAACCTCATATTTTTTGGCAATCTGATTTGTTAAACTGAAAAACTAAAAGCAAATTCATAACACATTTTTCCTACAATTCTCACAACGAAAAGTGGCAAAATAGCAGTAGTATCACCAACTTATACATCCTCACCACCCAAATTTTGTTCTTTAATTCTAATAGCATCTTGAAGGAATCAGGGCTCCTTGAAGTTCAGCTGATGCCATGTCTTAAAGGAGAAAAAAATTAAGGATGGGCCTGGAACATCTTACTGTAACCAGAAAGCATGTCAAAACAAAAATAAGGTACTAGCTTGAAGTGGTCAAGGTGTAACAATTAGAGCATTAATAATAATTACAGTTAAATAAACTACGAAAGTATTTTGAAATGCTATGAGTTCATAATGTACTCAAGAATAGATGAAGTACTGGGGCTGGGGTTGTGGCTCAGTGGTAGAACACTTGCCTAACATGCATGAGGCACTGGGTTCAATCCTCAGCACTACATAAATATAAACTAAAGATATTGTGTCCATTTAAAACTAAAAAATAAATATAAAAAAAAGAATAGATGAAATATTGAATATAGACAGAGTAGTTGTTACATGAAAAAAGTAAATGTGGATTGTTTAATTTTTTATTTCTTTCAGTGAATAGTGGCATGGTAATATAACTGCATAATCTATGTATGTGTCTCTGTATAATGTATACACAGATATTTGTTTTATCTATGTAAGTAATTATTGAGAACTGTAAGTTTAATAGCCTAGACAAAATAGATCCAAAAATAAAAAGATCAGTCAGCAGTGGTGGCAGCAGGTAGAAAGGAAAGATAATAATATGTTGAAGAATGATGAGTTACTCAGGTAACCTAAAAAGGGGGAGTTAACTGCTCAGACTTGATTCTTTATATTTTTGAAGAAAAAAATCTCTAAGCAGACCTACTGCTCCAGTTATAAAATAATGCACATAAAAAAGTTTATACTAACATTTAAAGAAAATATATCCTAATGACAACAGAATTTTGGTCAGAAGAAATAAAAGGATAAATTATATCTGTGGGAGACATTGGGTTTAAATTTATATGAAAGGAGTAAACTTAAGAAGTTTTGTTGATATAATATATGAGTTTAAATTTAAAAAGAAAACCAGCAGCTTGAGTTTATATTACTTTGAGAAAAGCAAACAATTCCATTCTCTGACCAAAAATCAGCTGACAATGCAGATTCCATAATCTTCGTCTGTGACAAGTTACATTTAACTGAAAGCCCAAAAGGCACCCAAAGTAAGTTCTAGTCTTAGAAGATATTAAATAAGTAGGAAAAAATATAGAAATAATTTTTAAAATGAATTTAAAAACTATAGTATTACATTTTATAATATATTTAAATAAGCATAGGTTTAGAAATAATCCTAGTTGAATATTTTTACTATAAGATTTGAGGCATTCCAAAAATTTAGCCACTTAAAAATTATTTTGAGGGCTGGGGATGTGGCTCAAGTGGTAGCGCGCTCGCATGGTATGCGTGCGGCCTGGGTTCGATCCTCAGCACCACATACAAACAAAGATGTTGTGTCCGCCGATAACTAAAAATAAAAAATATTTAAAAAATTAAAAAAAAAAGAACATTAATAAATGGTTTAAAAAAAATTATTTTGAAGTTTAATTCTGGTTCTGTAAAGGGATTAAGTTATAATTAAGTTTTTTTAAAAATCACTTTTAAAATATAGTTTCCAAAAAAATATTAAAGTGTGACCCCTAAATTTTTAACAACCATTCTATTTACACATTTATTCCAGAGGGGAAGAGCCTATATTTATGAATAGATGTAGATATAGAGATATACAGATACAGATAAATAGATCTGAATAACAAATATATCCCTCAACTGCAGGAAATGTTTCAATTTTTTGAACAAAAAATTATATAACATAATTTTAATATACACAAAGACTATGACCAATCTTACAGAATTTTCTGTGCTTTATTAAATACCAAGAAGTATAATTATCTTAATCCTTAGTTCAATCAGTAGAAAATAATATTTGCATGTCAGGATATTGAAACACATACATAATAGAATACTTACATTCCTGAATCTCTTTCTTGAGACAAGGCTGCTTCATGTGAAGCTGAAATAGCAGGTGGGGATCTAGGATATAATCCATAACCTTCACTTGGAGTAATTATCTGTTTACCCAGAATCCTTCAAAATGAAAACATACAGACTGTTAAACACCTTCACTTGGCATACATACAAAAACTAGTCATTTCTGGAACAAATCTGATGGCTCTACATAGAAGTCCAGTACATATTAGTTTGACATTGATTAAGAGTAATTCTTTGGGGGCAGGTACTGGGGACTGAACTCAGGGGCATTCAACCACTAAGCCTCATCCCCAGTCCTATTTTGTATTTTATTTAGAGATAGGGTCTCACTGAGTTGCTTAACACCTCACTTTTGCTGAGACTGGCTTTGAACTTGTAACCCTCCTGCCTCTGCCCCTCGAGCTGCTGGGATAATAGGCGTGTGCCACCGCACCTGTCTCAAGAATAATTCTTCAGATAAAATGTGAATCCTTACCACAGGTATATCTCTCTCTTCAACAAGAAAAGATAAAGCAATAGCCTGGGAATTTTTGAAAAGCCTAAGGAAAAAATAAATACACAAAAGGGGAAAAAACAGGAAAAAAATAAACCCAAGGAAACTGAGCAAACTTTCGGAATTTGCCCTTAATCCTCTATAATAATCTGCATAAACAAATATATTTTCTGACCATCTTGTTCAAAAGTAGAGTTCTTTAGAAACTCCTGATACACAGAACTCAGCTACTGGTATAGAAACAGTTTCACTCAACCAGGATAGCATATTGGTAGCTATGGAAACTTCCACCAACTTGAGCATTCATTCTCTCAGTTGAGCCTTTACACCACATGGCCTTGTTCACATTCATTAAAATAATATCCAATAGATATTTCAGAATATAAGCTTTTTTAGAAATGCACTTTTTAATTTTAGTCTTAGCCATGAATACAAGACAATGGTAGACTTCAATACCTGAGGTGAGGAAAGCTAGATGTCCACTGTTGGCACTCTTCTTGTAGACTCTTGGTATGCACACTTGACTTTTGCTCATATAAGAGCTCATCAATGGCTGTGAACATGGCCTGGACTTTTTCAGTGGCATTTTTATCAAGTTCCTAGAAGAAAATACCCCCCAAAATATTTAGGTGACCTTCAACCTCTGTTAACAATGTAAAGACTGAAAGCAATCAGATTTTGTTTTGTTTAAAATATTTAGTCCATTTGAAATATTACTGTGTTTACATGAAAGAAAAGTAGTTATGGAATTTTCAGAACTCATGGAATTTTCAGAGCTCATGGAATTTTCAGATGTCTTTTCTATTCCTGTTTAAAGAAAATTTACAGAAATATGTTTTTTAAAAAGTAACAATTTCTTCTTCATATAAATACTATTTATTGTAAACATTTTTTTAAAAGTACAGAAAAGTATAAAGAAAAACTTAAAATTTTCTAATGAAGCAGACCAGGTACCCCCACCCAAAAGACCCTTGCCATAATTAAGCTTCTCCTCTGTCAGATCAGCAGGATGTCTTGCAAAGGTTATTGTGGTTGAAATTCTTTCTTGTAAATGCCAGGTTTGCACACAAAAGGTATAACAGAATTAGTCTGTAAGCTTGTTGTACAAAATATATTATCTGTGTTTTCTTGGTAAAAACTTATGTGACCTGTGTCTGTCCTTAGAACTTAAGAAATTATTTTATGCAAACTCCTCCAGCATGTAAACTTCCAAGGCCCCACCCCCCACAATGGGTATAAAGTTCAAAGAATTTCCAAAATCTTGGTTCAGAGAATTTTTAAAAAAATATTTTTAGTTGTAGACAAACACAAAGCCTTTATTTTATTTATTTATTTTATGAGGTGCTAAGGATCGAACCCAGTGCCTCACACGTGCTAGGCAAGTGCTTGCTATACCACTGAGCCACAACCCCCGCTCCCCAGAGAATGTTTTAGGCTATGCAATAGCCTCTCTAGACCCTGCAGTCAATAAACCTGCTTCCTGAAAATTCCTCAGGTGTACAGATTCTTCTGTCCTGTTTCACTACAATTCCACAAAAGTTAATGATTATTATTTTTATTATTATGTTATTATTATTGAGATGTCTCCCCAAACTCCTGGGCTCAGGCAATCTTCCTGCCTCAGCTTCCTGAGTAGCTGGCACTACCAGTGTGTGCCACCATACCTGGCTTTGATGACTGCTAATTTTAGTATAGTTGCTTGGTTCTAGTATTTTTTAGAACAAAAAATTCTGTATATATTACTTAGTATTCTGCATCTTTCACTTGACAATTTATGTTATACACTTGAGCCCTGTAACCTGTCAGAGGAGCCTGGCACTGTAGCACAGGCCTGTAATCCCAGCAATTTGGAAAGCTAAGGCAGGAGGATCACAAGTTCAAGGCCAGCCTCAGCAACACAGCAAGGCCCTCAGAAATATAGTGAGATCCTATCTCAAAATAAAATAAGGACTAGGATATGGCTCAGAGGTAAAGTGTCCCTGGGTTTAATCCCCAGTAAAAACCCACCCCACCCCCACCAAAAAAAGAGAACAGTCAGAGGGAAGGCTATAAAATGTGGAACTAACTAATCATGTTATCATGTTATTTTTTAATTTCCTGCTTACCTTTACTGCAGCTATATTTATTATGTGCCCTTTTACATTTCACTGGAAGAAAAGTTATACTTTCTTCTAAAAGGATAAAATGAGAACTATGTATTTTCACTGTAAAAATTAAAATCAGGGGCTGGGGTTGTGGTTCAGTAGTAGAGTGCCCATCTTGCACGTGTGAGGCACTGGGTTCAATCCTCAGTACCACATAAAAATAAATAAGTAAATGTATTGTGTCCATCTACAACTAAACAAATATTTTGAAAAAGAGAATTAAAATAAGTCTCTTCTCAGTAGAAATATATTTGGGAATCATTTTAAAAAAAAAATCTGGCCAGACACAAGTCTGTAACCCCAGTGGTCAGGAGGCTAAGGCAGGAGGATCACAAGATTTGTCTGTTTTACTTACAATTTTTCAGAGAACTAACTTTTGACTACATGTTAGTTTTCTCTATTTTTTTTATGTCATTAATTTCCAGTTTAATCAATATTTCCTTCTTTCTGCTTGCTTTAGATTTAGTTTGTCCATTTTTAGTTTCTTAAGGTGGAAACTTACGAACTTCAGATTCTCTTTTTTCTATAAGCATTTAGAACCATTAATTTGTTTCCTTTTAAATTTTTTTATTTGTTCTTTTTAGATAGACGTGACACTCCATTAATTTATTTCTAAGCACCACTTTAACTGTGTCCCATAAATTTTGATATTTTGCTTTTTCATTTTCATTTAGTGAAAAATATTTTTTTAGTTTTCCCTTGCAGATTTCCCTTCCAAACAGCATTTGGGGATATTCCACATTTCTGCTTTTTATTTCCAACTTAATTCCATTGGTATTAGAGAACATACTTTAAATCCTTTTAGATTTACAACACTTTTTAAAAAATGTGTTTGAAGCGTATATAGAGTACATATTCTGCTGTCATTTAGGTCAAGTTGGTTCATAGTGCTATTCATCTCCTCAGTAATCTTTGCTAATCTTTTGTCTAGTTTATTTTTTAAGTATTAAGAGTAGGGTATTGGGTTTCTAGCTATAATTGTGCTTATTTCTCCTTGGAATTCTGTTCATTTATGCTTCGTGAACTTTAAGTTATTGAGTATGTATAATTTATAATTGCTGTATTTTACTAATGACTGAAACCTTTTATCATTACAAAATATTCCTTGTTTCTGGTATTTTTTCTTGTCTTAAAGTTTATCTTCTCTGAGTTCTAATTCAAGCAGTGCTTACTTTCTTTTATTTTTAACTTATTGAGGATTGATTCCAGTGGTGCTTTACTACTGAGCTATAACCCATCCCTTTTTTAAAAAATATTTTTTTAGTTGTAGATGAACACAGTACCTCTATTTTATTTATATACTTTTATGTGGTACTGAGGATTGAACCCAGAGCCTCATTCAAGCTAGGCAAGCACTCTACCATCGAGCCACAACCCCAGCCCCCAACCCATCCCTTTTTAAATTTTGAGACAAGGTCTGGTTAAGTTGCCCAGGCTGGTCTTGAACTTGAAATCCTGTAATCCTCCTATCTCAGACTCCTGAGTAACTGAGATTAGAAGTAGGCACCTCCATGCATGACTGCCCCAGCTTTTAATTTCTGGGTTCCCTCTATCTTCTTCCGCACTTGCATGCATCTTATTTCCCAGATCCTTTTAATAAACTTCTAGATAATCTGCCAATCCATTGTCTGTAACCTCAGCCTGTCTGAGCCACTGTTCTTCCCAAATTTGCTATTGTTGTTGACAATGCTATTAAGCACACAGTTTGTCTAAGCTTTACTCTAGATCCTTCTCTGGCACTAAAGCTGCTAGCTTTCATAGCTTGTCTCCCTAGAGAAACAGACTCTCATTGTTCTTAACCCAAGCCCTATTGATTTCTATAAATAATTGTTTATTTTTTAGTTGTATACTTTTGGTAAACTTTCAAAGTCCTTAAATAGCTGCATTCACCACCTTAATCTAATTTTATTATTGTCTTTGGGGGGAGAGGATTTGTTAAAACTACTCACTCTGATAAATTATAAGTTCCCCCTCATAATTTTCTCTTATTATATTGTCTTCATCAGGTTTTAGCATCAAGATTATGCTGACCTCATAAAATGAGTTGAGAAGTATTCCTTCTATTTTTTGGAAAAAGTTTGTGCCGTTGTTATTTCTACCACAAATGGATAGATTTCAACTGGGCCTAAAGCTTTCTCTGTGTGAGAATTGTTTGATTTAATTTCCTTAGTAATAACCTTAAAAAAGGAAATTTGTATTATAGTCACCCATCCTTCGAGCTATAATTACTTCTATAAGCCCCATCTTTATACATCTTATATGCATTATATATACATATCTTATATGTCAATATATATTAAATATAAGCATTTTTTGCCTCAGTCAGAATCTTTTAAAGAAATCAGATAAAAATAAAGAATTTGACATTTACCCATTTATTTACAGTTTCTGGTACTCTTCTCTCCCTCCCTGACAGATTCCAGCTGCTTCTTTTGCCCTGAACTCTGGTATCTGCTCCTCAGCACAATGGGAACATCATTGCTTTGCTTGGACTCTGACTCACTATTGCATAGTCAGAAAACTCCCCAGGCAGGTAGCCAAGGAAAATAAGAGGTCATCAGAGTAGGAGGATGGCCTGCTGGGCAATATGAGACTTAGAGGGCTCAGAGGCCTTGAACATGTTAAAAGGGTATTTCAAATTACTTTGGCAGTGAAGCAAATTACTCCAAAACTCAACAGCAAAAATCACTTATTATCTCTCCAGGTTTATATGGGTCAGGAATTTGTGTAGATCTCAACAGGAATGGCTTATCTCTGCTCTGTATCATCTGTGGCCTCAGTCAAAAGACTCAAAGGCTGGGAGCTAAAATCATCTGAAGGCTCATTCACTAATACAATGGCAACTGAGGCTGGCTTATAACTGCAGACTTTAATTCCTTTCCATAGTGCTTTTTCATGTCTGTAACTGAACTTTCTTACAAATGGTGGTTAAATTCTGAGATCTACCACTCAAAGACAGAGACAGAGACAGAAATAGGCAAGCAGAAACTGCAGTGTCTTCTAACCTAGAAAGTCAAGTAGCACCACTTTCACTTTGTTCTAATGACTGAGGCAGTTAAAAGGGACATCCAGGTTCTAGGAGAAAGAACATGGCTTTTGAAAATATAATCTACCCACAATGGAAATAAGATGTTGCAGGATGAGCACTACTGAAAATCAAGATGTCCCTTTGGGAAGGCAATCAGCTTGTAATGTTGAAATTAGAATGGAGAGAGGAAGGCTACCGCATGGGGAGTAGGTGGAGTAAGAGAGGCCAAGGACAAAAAAAGGTACCCCAAAGGGGGTCAAACCAGTATGAGTGTCTGAGTCCAAGCAGGCTGAGAAAATCCAAATGGTAAAAGGATACAGGGGGGAGTGACCCATTGCAGGGTGAAAAGGGCATATGCAGAGAGTAGGAGACAGTGGCAATAGTGGGAAACTGGTTACATTCAGGGAAATTAATCAAATAGATAAAT